AACAATATGATAATATTTAATTATATTGTTTTGTTTAGATACTGAAGTGCTTTTACTCTCTAACAGGTCAAAAGCCAATCTATGAGAGACTGAACTGCAGCCAAAGGAAGCTTCATGAAGCACAGAGAACTCTGGGAAACGGAGTCTGTGTGGTTCTCATGTTTATTCTCAGGGCGTCTGAAGACACGGCTGCAGGAGTGACAGATGTCTGGATATTCTCAGGGCGTCTGAAGACACGGCTGCAGGAGTGACAGATGTGTGGAGTTCTCTTCTGTCAAGCAGCTGGGAAATACTAATGCTTGACGTTTTGTAAGGCGACTGCACGAGTAAATGAGCGAGATGCTCCTGCGTTTCACTGAATCTGTGTCCGTTTAGTCTTGCACGAAAATCCAAAAAAGATTTGTCAAAACCTGGTACAAGCTGAAGTCAAAACACAGCAAAGTTTTTATCACTTGATGGTAAAAATGCTGAAAATTCCAGAAAATGGGACATGAAAACAGGCTTTTTTTTGCACACTGGTGGACAGTTTCTAGACTAAATCATGATCTCAGATCAGAGTTTGATGGGGGATTTTGCAGGTTATGAATGAATGTATTTAATTCATGTGTTCAGTTAATCACGCCAAACTCACTGTGACACTCCACTGATGGACCTTATAAACGAGGTGCTCCTGTACTTTAATAATAGTAATTTGAGTTTATGAATCTGAGTGTGAATGTGGATGTTCGCACTATTTGTATTATGTGTGTTCCTAAAGAAATGGGTCTGAATGTTACGTTTCTGTTGCCACTGTATAAATTCATGACTAAAGTGCTTCAGCTTTTCTCAACAAAAGCAAATCCTTTCACTTTCTGACAATAGAAAGTGCTGATGAAGCCATATCTTTGTCTTTTAAACTTGCTTTGTCTTGCTTATTTCCTGCTAAACTACTGATCAGATGAGCACATTTTTAAATTGTCAGTATTTTTGTTGAACTCTTAAATGCATTAAACTGGACAAATAAACATGAACAGAATATTAGCTGCATTCTGTGCAAAATATTTTTTTTAAACAATAGCCTTCAAGCATAATTCAATTTGCTTTAACTCGATGCACAGCCTGTTAATTTGTAGTCTCTTTAAATGTAGTCCTTATTTTGTCATGTCACATTAATAAAAAGGCTAAAATAGCATCTAATTTTTTAGTTGACAATGCAAATCAAGCCCAAGATTATTTATACATAGTATTTTTTGTTTTAAACATAATTTAAGTCTTTGTAAAAACATGACACAAAACCACGAATAAATGCACGTTTACTTTGCATTTTTGCTTTAACATATCCAAGGTTCACTTCTGTATAAAGTTAGTTTTTCACAAATTGCATTGAAATTGGAACCAGTGGTTTGAAGTGCTTATCACACTGCCAAAGTCACGTGATTTCATTAAACGAGGCTTAGTTACATCACAACGGTTTAGAAATATTCTGACACTTTAATGGTATAGAGGTCTGTTTTTTGGAGCTCGATTACACAAATGCTTTTTAATAGTAAGGAGGACTTTTATGCTATGAAATTTGCAGAATGTTTTAATGGTACAAAGACTTAGTATGTCAAAAGATCAAGAAAAATGTGATTTTTCATGTCATGACACCTTTAAAATCGGCAGTTTTATACAAGAACGCACGCAGAATGGGGCGGGGCTATACACATCGCTCCGCCCACAATGCATTTCATTGGTTATTGGCAAAGTACTCAATAATGGACTGTGTAACTGACCATTTACATGTTTAACCACAAATGAAATATTACAAATAAGCAAATGTATTATAAATCAATAATATAGACTTTAAACAATCTATCGAGTCTGAATGTGAAAAATTATTATTTGTGGTTTTCTAAAACTCCTGAATAAAACAGTATGCATTAACTGCACAAAGAAATGCAGGACACACGAGTCAGGGGTGCAGAAAGATGTCAATCATTTTATTTCTCTCTACACAGGGCCGCGGTGCCGCCCTCTATTCACAGTACATGTTCATCCTGACACCTTTAGTGTGACACCATTATGTACACGAAACATCTGAACCCAATGACATTACATTCAGTGCAAATGCAACTAATAACACACTAGACTATTAGACAGACGCACGTCTCGGCCGCACACACGAGCAGAACGCCTCTCCTGATTGGCTGTTTCCACCGAAATCCCCTCCAATCAGCAAGCAGTCACCTCGTGGGGAAATCAGGTGTACGTTTGGTAAAGTAACACATTCAGCTTCACGGTTTCACTCCGGTGGATTCGTACATTCGGGTTCAGCGAGTGTCTGGAATGTTTACGTTGTTTTATAAATCTCATCTGGTGGAAACGTTACCGTAAATACTGGGATGTTGTGTTGTGCGCCTGCTCGACTCGTCATACAGCGTCTTTAACAGTCTATCATGGGAACAGTTGGCCGATGGAAATATATAGCAAAAAATGTAAAAGCTCTTGTTTTGCAAAAAAATATTTTCTTGCTCAGTATTTTTGTCTGAAAAAAAAAAATGTAATTGAAAGGGAAAACAGTTTTTTTTTACCCCACTGACAGATATTTTTTTCTTGTTTTAAGCATAAGCTTAGTTTTGATCAAGTCATTTTATTTACTGCAGATGCAAAATTAATGCAAATTTTTAGAATTAAAACAATAATATTTGCCAGTGGGCTAAAATAAAATTATGTATTTTAAAGAGAACATTTTTTTTTAACCCATTGACAGATTTATGCATTCTTGTTTTAAGCATAAACTCAACTAATTATATATATATATATATATACACCCAGAAAACAAGACATATCGTAAGTAATTTAATTTATTTTATACTGTAGATGCAAAATGGCAAACCTTTTCTGAAAAATAGATCAAAATTAAGTGACATTATGCTTAAAACAAGAAAAAATATCAGTTAGTGGGCTTTAACAAAAAAATAAATAAAAATTAATTCAAAGGGAAAAAAATATATTTTTTTACATATAAGCATAAAACAATTGTTATCTTTTTTTCAGACTTAATATCTTAAGTCATTTTATTTACTGTAGATGCAAAACGTCTGAAAACATGTTTCTGCTAAAAGTATAAAAATTAAGTGAATTAATGCTTAAATCAGTGGGTCATTTTGCTTCTCAAGTACTTGTATCTTGATTTAAGAATTTCTAGATATTTTTACTGGAAAAAAAATATAAAAATACTGAGTAAGAACTTCATATTTGACCAGTTTGTGCCTTTTAAGATTGTTTACTAATGCTTGAGATTTAAATGTTCACTTTGGAAGAATAAATTCAATCAAGAAAAAATAAATAAAAGCAACTAATTCTACCTGATCTACAACTACATACGAGCTACGCCCCAAATTGAAACCGCATCTCCCTATTGGACAGAGAATTTGATTGGTGTCAGGGCTTCTCCAATAAGAAGACAACACATTCTAACATGAGGTAAGAAATCAATGTGAAATGATCTTTGTATAAACACTAAGGGACGCCAGGTTGGTTTGTGGCTGTAGTTTGGGCAGTACAACCAGCAAGATCAATAATGAGGCACTTTTCTAGAAATGTTTGAGTCGGTACACACCTCTCAGTCACACACACACACACTCACACACTAAGGCATATGGAGTTGGATTAGGTAAAAGCGTCGACTGACGATCTGAAGCAATAATGAAATTATATACAAATAATATGTACGCAACGTTCATCTGACATATTAAAAATTTCTGCCGGTTACGATCGATCTGGAATTGTGCTACAGTATATCAGCTGCTGAGAGATGGATATAATTAAATCGCCAAAGAAATTAAGCATCTCCTCGTCAGCGGCAGATGCTGCGCTTCATAAAAGAGACGGCCAACATCGAGACGAAAGGCAGGTTCATAGAGTTCACTCACAAACATGCCTTTGATTTCCCCCAAACAGCGATTATACGAGGACGATGAAAGCAAAGCTGAAATGTGTTCAAACAGGAAAATAACAGGACTAAAACAGAGCCGGTCTAGAGTGTTCAGCTTCAAAACTCTCCATTATATATATATATATATATATACTTCCCATCTCACTTACTTACATACATACATATATATTCATATCAATGTAGATCTCAGCCAGAAAACATGGGACAGACTTTGACGTTGGGCATCTCTAGTCCTCTGCCTGTGTGAGCTAGTGTGGCGCTACAGAACGGCATCAAGCGTCTACCTCTGGGCTTCCCGTGGCAGCGGGATTCAGAACAGTCTGGAGAAGAGACGCGATGAGTCTTCGGTGTCACTAGAGGAGTGTGCGGGAACCAGAGGCGCTCATGCACACCGACAGCAGAACTGGGGAACTGCAAAGAACAATAAATAATAAAAACGAATTTCAGAATTATGATAATAATGCAGTAAGTATTTAACATATGTGACCCCGGACCACAAAACTATGTAAGGGTCAATTTTTCGAAATTGAGATTTATACATCATCTGAAAGCTGACACACTACCGGTCAAAAGTTTGGGATCAGTAAGACTTGTAATGTTTTTTAAAGAAGTCTCTTCTGCTCATCAAAGATGCATTTATTTGATCAAAAATACAGAAAGAAAAAAAAACGTAATCTTGCTAAATGTTATTACAATATAAAATAATGGATTCTATTTTAATATCCTTTAAAATTAGGTTTTGATATATTTACGGTAGGAAATTTACAAAATATCTTCATGGAACATGATCTTTACTTAATATCCTAATGATTTTTGGCATAAAAGAAAAATCTATAATTTTGACCCATACAATGTATTTTTGGCTATTGCTACAAATATACCCCAGCGACTTAAGACTGCTTTTGTGCTGCAGGGACACATATATAGCAAAATTAATAATAATAATAATAATAAATATGACAACTAATTAAAAACCTAATACAAATAATAGTAGTAAAAATAATATTATATATCAAATAATAATATATATTATTAAATACATAAATAGTTAAAAAATAACAATCATACAATAATAATTATTAAATATATAATAACATATACTAAAAAATACATAATACTAAAATAATAATAAAAATAAATAAGACAGTAATAGTAATATTAATAAAAAATTATTAAATATAACATAACTATTAAAACACAAAATTATTAAATATATAATAACATAACTATTAAAATGCATAACAATAACAACACTAAAATAATAATACAATAAAATAACGATACCAATAGTAATAATAATAATATATTATTAAATATATAAGAACATAAATCGTAAAATACATAATAACAACAATGTAATAAATAAAATAAAAATATAACCAAAAATAATAAGGATAAGTCTGACTCTGGCTAACATCTTTTTCTGTACTGCTGTCACTGCTGTCATATAAACTCTGAAGGTCATCAGATGTAGTTTGGTGCACCTGGTGCTCAGAAGAGGATGGGCTTTCCCGCTGTTTTCTCCTGGACGTAGGAAGTGAAGCGCTTGAGGAATTTGGGATATTCTCTTTTCGCGACGGCCCTCAGGACAGATGCAGGAGCCCAGCCGCCGGGATTCACTGCAACCACCACAACAAACAAACTTATTTATATATTCATATATTAAATGTTAATATATTTGTATCTTATTTATGTGATTTAGTAGCTATTCTATGAAGATTATAGGTGAGAGGTTTCTCTAACCGTTGGCCACGTATGTGATTTTGCACAGGATAACAGTTGTGCTGCCAAATATTTTTTTGGAAGCTGTGATACTTTTTTTCAGGATTCTTTGATGAATAAAAAGTTAAAAAGAACAGCATTTTTTAAAAAATATTAATCTTTTCTAACAATATAAATCTTTGGTATCACTTCTTAACAATTTAACACATCCTTGCTGAATAAAAGTAAAAAAAACCTTTTAAAAAAAAGAAAGAATAAAAATGTACTGACCACAAACTTTTGAACTGTAGTGTATATTGTTAGAAAATATTTATATTTTAAATAAACACTCTTTTTAAAAAACGTTTTATTCATCAAAGAATCCTGAAAAAAAGTATCACAAGTTCCAAAAAAATATGAAGCAGCACAACAGTTTCCAGCACTGATAATAAATCAGCATATTAGAATGATTTCTGAAGATCATGTGACACTGAAGTCTGGAGCATTGATGCTGAAAATTCAGCTGCGCATCACAGGAATAAATCAGATTTTAAAGTATATTAAAATAGAAACCATTATTTTATATTGTAATAACATTTTGCAAGATTACTGTTTTTTTTCTGTATTTTTTATCAAATAAATGCAGCCTTGATGAGCAGAAGAAACTCCTGTAAAAAACATTAAAAATCTTTCTGATTCCAAACTTTTGACCGGTAGTATATGTATATATATAAATAATGGAGAATTAAATGAAGTGGATGCACAAAATCTGAATCAATTTCAAATGTTTCTAGAAGTCAGAATTGATCCACAAAACCCATAAATGCATTAAACGGTGCACCAAACTCGTTAAACTGCTGCTACTACACGAGCAGATTGACTCAGCGGTTGCCATGGAGACCAGACTCACCTGGGCATTTTCGTGCTCGACTGAGAAGTTACAGACGAGCCATGTGTCTGGATCGTTCTCGTTATTGGCCATAATCTTACGAATGGCAGACAGGTACAAGACGTCTCTCTGGGACGCTGGCCACACTCTCTACACGGATGCAAACACAAGATAATCTGTCAGAATCAATCATATCACTATAAAGAAGTGCTTCACTTAGAAAGCATGCTCTCGTCTTACCTTATGAGTCTGGTAGATGATGATGGCATTATCGGACAGCGTTTCCACGATGTTGAAGTTTTCAACAGTAGCTGGAGACAGACAAAAATGAGAGCTGATAAAGCTAAACTCAAGTGAAGAACAGTGAAGAATACACAGAGGTACTAGACGATGACGAGTAATTCTACCCAAGATGCATCACTATCGACTGGGCCAGTGATCATTAGGAGGTGCGGCTGAATCATCTGGACAGTGAAAGTGTTCTGGTAATTCACTGTATTAAAGCATGTAAAAGCGTGGTAAGAGTATATGCTGCTTACACAGGCCAAACTGTGCTTAGTCATCGAACGTGCTCCATTAATAATGATATGATACAGTAGAAGAGCTTTATTAGATTATATGAAGACGTGTGCCATCATACAAACCTGATTTTTCATGATATTTTGGAGTACAGGAAGAGATTGATATGGCATTTAATTGTACTCTACACCAGGGTTAACTAAAACTATTTTGTATTTTTTTTCAATTGATAATTAACAAATTGGTGAAATTAAATCTAAAAAGTAGAAAAACTTAAACATTTAAAATGCTATCATGACAACTAACTGAAATAAGTTTAAGTTAAAGCACTAAAATTACATTAAACTAAAAATTTATAAAACACCAAAAATGACAAAAGCGTGTAATAAAATTACAAATTATTTTGAGTGTTGCTATATTTTAATTTATTTTATGTTATGTACTGTGCTGTGTGAGATGCGTTGTGAACTAAATGGGACAATAAAGTTTATTTGTATAGCGCTTTTCACAATACAAATCGTTGCAAAGCAGCTGTACAATATATGTTTCTACAATATATTTAGTAGTAGCTTATCAGTGGTGACTATGTCAGTAAAATTCTATTCTATTCCATTCTATTCTATTCTTTATCATGAATAAGAATATAATTATTTTTTGTAATCATTACATTTTCTAAAAGTGATCAATAGTTATTGAGCTACTGATTAAAGGTTTAGAGTAGACATATTCTTATTGATTCAGTACTGATCATGTTTTTGGTGCAAGGAACTTACAAATTAAGTGCATCGCAGAAAAAATTTAAATGCAACAGAAGTGATTTCTATGGCAGCTTTAAGCTAATGTCTAATACCGTGTTGTGTGTGTGTGCATATATATATATACTCACTCTCCCAATCGTTACGGACATCCGTGTCCCAGAAGTAGTGGCAGACCTCGTGACCTGTGACCCCTTTGACACAGTGTGTGGCCTTCAGAGGGTCCAGCACGATCCCGTTCTCCTCCACCTCCCGCCGGTACACCTGAGAGAGACAAACACACAGATGGAGAGTGAGTCTGCAGACTAAAACACAGGCATTCGATCAAACTAAAATAATCACAGACATTAGATCAAACTCACCTTCATCTCTCCCTCTTCCACCACCAGCTGCCAGTTAGCGTCTCCACCGACGTCCTGCAGGGAGTAGGTCATGTGATTCTGAACCATCTCCTCCACCTGTCCAAAACACAGCAGAACAACAAAGACAGAGGTCATGCTCTCATTTAAGAGGATCTAGATCAGGGATCCTCAAATCTGGCCCACGAGATCCACTTTCCTGCAGAGTTTCGCTCTAACCATAATCAAACATGCTAATCAATGTCTTCAGGATCATTCGAAAATCACAGGTAGCTGAGTTTGATCAGGGTTGGAAATAAACTCTGCAGCACATTGGCCCTCCAGAGCAAGATTTGAGGAACCCTGATCCAGATTAATAACACTAAATGTGAACATTACCCAATACTGACTAAATATGATAGCCAACATGAAACGGCTTTCACAAACCATTTCACTTCTGTAATTTGAGTTACTTCTGTATTTCTGAATGAAACAAAAAAAAAACTACTCCCTGCTCTAAAACACCACCAGCACACACTTTTCTGAAGTCAAGTTGTTTCTCCAGACAATTGCCATGTATCCCAAAGCTAACAGGCATTTTATATTACTCATTCAACTTTATTATATTACAGTTTTTCTCAATTGCTTTGTCTCAATTCTCGAATGAAACTTTTTTTTCCCAAAACAATAAGTTCAGATCTCTGAACAATTAGCTTCTTGTTCACATCAGATTGGAATTTCTTATTGATTTGAGCAAATTGCAAATGCTTTGGCACATGTGTGCAAACAGTAAGTACAATTGTCTGCAGTTTGCACAACAACTAATTGCATATGGCTTGTTGATCAAAACTGATGAGCCGATTCTCACTTAAACTGTCAAACTCTTCACAACTTCTCAATAATTTTTCATCGTGTGAGCCATCACATTCATTTGGGTGAGTAACTACATTTTGCAGACATGCAATAAAGTTCTGAAGTTCCAGCAAACAGTTGTGACATTTGTGACATTGTGACAGTTTAGAGAATGTTAAGATTGTTTCGAAAAATGTGCCAAAGCAATTGAGAAAAACTGTAACCAGCACTAAACTACTGGATTTAGAACGGCTGCATTGCATATAAAAGCAGCCTGAAACAATGACTGTTTATTTAATGCAATTCATTAGCCCTTTATTTACATACTACAAACAACCACAGATAAATCTTTAATGATAAGACAAGGAACATGAATTTAAACAAATTAGCTCTATTTGGATTTCAAGGTGACTTAAAGTAAAATAATAATTCCAGGAAGGTATTGAACATGCATATTATGATATTAAAAGCAATTAAAAAGTATTATTAGCTGCAACTTCAAATTGCAAAGACTCAGACACAGAGGAAATAGAGATAACAAGGCAGACTATGTGGTTTTAATGTGCTGTTTAAACAGTACATGGTTATCCATCATGCAGACTTGCCAATAAAATGACTGGCTGCGTTTTAAAACCTAATGTGCTGCCTAGCCTGACAGCAGTTTTGGCCATTAGCACAGCATCATACCCACACTAAAATGATGGCCTAAAATGCTGACTAATAGGGTTTTAAACACACACACACACACACACACACACACACACACACACACACATATAGGTCTTTAAAGCATTTAAAAGCAGGACACTCTAATAAAATGTTTTAATGATGGCCAAAAAGTCTCGCTGACTAAGTAGGCAGCTCACTAGGGTTTGAAACGCAGCCATATCTACATGTTTACGAATGCATTGGTGATGTATCATTATGAATCTCATGCTGTAACAGCTGGTAGTGAGTGTTGGATGAGTGTGCTAGAGGGCGCTGTTACCTCAGCACTGAACCGGTGCTCATGGAGCGAAGGAGTGAAGGCTACAGCAGAAGATGAGGGAGAGCAAGGACGAGAGGGGGACTACACAGGTGAGGAAGAAGAGAGAAAGCAGCTTCATCGGGAACCCAAAAAAGAGACCAAGACGGGAAAACAGAGCACCACAGGGACACGAGAAGAGGTCTACAGACAACCATGACGAGAACAATGAGCTCACCTTCTCTGCGAATCGGTGAGAGCCCACGCTGGAGTAGACGTCTCCTGAAGGCACTGAACTGCTTCTCTGTATCCTGCTCTTCTCACACAGAGACTATAAAAACACACATACATTAATGATAAAAACATAATAACATAACTTGAAACACAATGTGTGAAACTGAATAATCAGAATAGAATGCACTGATGAATCCTGCTCAATAAGACTGGAGACATATTGAGACAATAAATAGACTATAAATACAAATTTTTTAAATGTATTTGCTTTACATTTTTAAAAAGCTGAAAATATTTACATTTGAATTACATTTACATTTATGCGTTTAGCAGATGCTTTTTTTCCAAAGCGACACATCATGTGGTAAATGTGTCCCATTTGCAGAGTTTTTAAAATCAAATTTAAGACTTTAAGACCTTTTTAATACCTGCACAAATATTATAAACTGCAAAACAGGGTAACTGCAAGTTTTAAACTCAAGACATGTTTTATTCAATAAATACATGTGAATTGCAATTGGTACTAGTACTAATATATACATACTAATATATCAATGCATTTATAGGTCAATTGATATTGGATTTTGCTGAATTATAATATGTTTAAAGAAAGGCAATAAGATTATTGAGCGCAAAATCTACATATCAAACGTAATTACATTTTTTCTTAAATGTAATTAAAGATTTTGTGCATAATGTGGGACTTTGAATTATAAACATGCCCCAATTAAGCCTGTAGAATTTGCAATTGTGCTGCATTTTGACTTTGAACATGCAGCACTCACATGAATTAAATCATAAAATAAGTTTATAGTATTTCACTAGTATAAAAGTTTAAAGATTTGAACATTTGGAAGTGAAGAAATTAAGATAAATATTAGTATTGTAACTTGCAGTGTAAAATAAAATAATTAGGCCTACAAATATCCAATATATATGTGACCCTGGACCACAAAACCAGTCATAAGTGTCAATTTTTCAAAATTGAGATTTATACATAAATAAATAAGCTTTCCATTGATGTATGGTTTGTTATGCTAGGACAATATTTGGCCGAGATACAACTATTTGAAAATCTGGAATCTGAGTGTGCAAAAAAATCTAAATATTGAGAAAATCACCTTTAAAGTTGTCCAAATTAAGTTCTTAGCAATGCATATTACTAATCAAAAATTAAGTTTTGATATATTTACAGTAGGAAATTAACAAATATCTTCATGGAACATGATCTTTACTTAAAATCCTAATGATTTTTGGCATAAAAGAAAAATCGATAATTTTGACCCATACAATGTATTTTTGGCTATTGCTACAAATATATCCATGCTACTTATGACTGGTTTTGTGGTCCAGGGTGACATATATATATTATTTTATTTTACAACACTTTACAAAAGTAATATATTTATATCCTCTTTTTTATCATTAAAGTTAGAACACCTGTTCTTCTATTTTGTCGTGTCTGTCCAGAGCGGCCTCCACGGCGTCAAAGAACTCGTCTTCATTGATCAGGCTGTTTGGACCCTCCTGATGGACAGAACAAGATGAACATCTCCATACAGTTTACTGCTCTTCCTACTTTGTAAAATTCATCAGCGCAAAACAAAACCCACCTCATAATCGGGCCCTCCAAAATGAGACTTCTTCTTCAGCTCGGACAGGGCTGATTTATACGCCTCCTCCATCCTCCTCCTCTTCTCCATCTCCTGTAGAAAGCAAGAGAGGGGAACGTGACCCATACTAGGAATTAGTGCTCTGCATTTAACCCATCCTTAGTGCACACACACAGCAGTGAACACACACACACCGTGAACACACACCCGGAGCAGTGGGCAGCCATTTTTGCTGCGGCGCCCGGGGAGCAGTTGGGGGTTCGGTGCCTTGCTCAAGGGCACCTCAGTCGTGGTATTGAAGGTGGGAGAGAGCGCTGGTTATTCACTCCCCCCACCTACAATCCCTGTCGGTACGAGACTCGAACCCGCAACCTTTGGGTTACGAGTCCGACTCTCTAACCATTAGGCCACGACTTCCCACAATGGAAGTTTAGCTGACTAAACACTGCTGCTGTGATGTTTAATGTCTTGGCGTGAGCAGATCTTGTCTCGGTGTGAGACTGTATCGGTACAGGATTGTTCTGAAGCGCTCCATTGTTCAGACAGAAGCAAAACGCCCGTGTTCTCCTTCTGATTGTATGTGTCAGTATTCAGTGTTGGGAGTAACTTTATGAACGTAATAATGCATTTGTGCTTATATTTTTTTAACCTAAACTACAACGTAACATTAATGTAGACCTGCATACCGGTATCTAAACATGATTTCATATATTTTATGCTATATAGACCTACCACATTACCCTCCACTGGATGTAGAATGAGCAGCAATAAACTACATTTTGGCATTTTATAATACTTCAGTGGATATTTTGGTGAAAGTAACTCAAAAGTAGTGTAACGCATTACAATTCAGAGACAGTAATATTGTAATGTAACTAATTACTTTCAAAAGACAGTAACTAGTAATATATAATGTATTACATTTTGGAAGTAACTTGCCCAACACTGTCAGTATTGTGCTGAATGCTGCTGACTGCGACACATTGGCAGACGGATTCAGCTCCACCTCTATCACACACAAGCCCATTAAAACGTCTGGATGAACTTTTCTGGTAAAGATACCGCAGCAGTTATTCACAGAAACAACAGCTTTCCGTGTTTAAAAGTATGGCTTCCATTCATAAACCATCACCAAAACGATGATGCTATAACTATAGTAGTTAAAACAGGCTAAATGCACATGTCTGAAAAGCTGTTTGCTGCATATTAATGAAAATTTACAAAATAATAATCCTGTCATGCAAAATGTTCTGATTGGCTCAAACTCTGATAGAAGACTTCTTACATTAGATTGTACCAGTGTTATTTTAGTATTTAGTATAAGTATTATAAATATAAATCTTTTAGTATTTTAATATTTATTAATATTTTGAATCCACTTTTTTAAATGTTCAGTTTTCATTTTAAATTTGGTTTAAGTTTTAGTGATTTTGTTATCTCTTATATAGTATTACAGTATTTATTAATATTTTTGAATTAGCCTTTATTTTTTATATTTAGTTTTCATTTTAATTTTAATGTAAATTTTTGTAATTTTGTTATGTATTACTGCTTTAGTATTACAGTATTTATTAATATTTTGAATGTAACTTTTTATTTTATATTTGTAGTTTTCATTTTAGTTTAAGCTTTAATAATTTTATGTTCTTTTCTATTAGTTTTCTAATAGTTCTATATAGTTTTAATTTATTTTTATTTCAGTTTTAATAATTTCAGTACTTCAACTTATTTTGGGTAGTCTAAATTTTGTTTACATAATTAACATTTTTATGCAATATTAATATTTGTAATTTTTTAAGCTTTATTTCAGATACCGAAAACTAGTTTTCACAAACTAGTCGATGAGTTGCACCAGTATTTGATGCTTGTGTCGACTAGTCATGGGTCATGTGACTTCAGCTGCACTCATTCTGTCAATGGGTGACATTATTTTGTATGAAAACTTGTAAAAATCACATATATCCCACACTACAAGAATGTGAAACCGAATAGTCGACTTCTGCTCTAGGTGATTAGTATAATTAAGTAGTCATGGAAGCCCTACTTTGCTCTGCCAGCTAATGTACCAAATTTGTTCACATATAGCATCAATGCAAAACACTTCCGCCAAAGTTGCAACTCCTTTAGCTGGTGAATTGCCAGGGCTGATGTGCCATAATTTTGACACCAGATCTTGTTCACACATGACTTAACTGTGGGTGCTTTTTTAGCTTCACACTAATGTGTTTTATTTTCACAGTCAGGGAAAAATGTCACTCTGTCAGAGACACAATCACAACAGCAGCCTGCCAACGGAGCACTGAAATACAGAAACACCATCTCTCTTCTGATTTGATCAGCTCAAGGACAAGCTCCAGACGTCCGTGTTTCGTACCTTATCCAGTCTCTTCTGCCAGCTGTCCTCTCTCTTCACCATCAGGTCGTTGCAGTGAGAAAGTGTAGCCAAGATTCCCGCCGTGGTTGCCTTGAATGTGATGGCCTCTCCTTTAAAATCTATCCCATTAATGCCTTTATGACTCAAACACTGGAATACTGATGGGGAGAGAGAACAAATCCAGTCACACTCCTTGAAGGCACCTTAGAGGCATTAATTTGCCAGACAGTGTTACACAGTGTCCAAATCAGGCACAATGCAATAAAAAGTGATAAATCAAATCTCTTCCATGAGTTTTCTGAGTATTTATTCCAACCAGCAGTTGCCTGAGTTACATTTTCTATTTTAGTACTTTATATTACATTTATATTTATGTATTTTAAAACATATATTATAAATGTATTATATAAAAATATATATATAAATATATTTTTTTATTTATAAAATATATTTCAATATATATATTATATATATATATATATATGTGTTAAGTTATATATATGTTTTGTTAATTAAGTCCAAGTTTATATTAAGTTTATTAATTCATAAACATTTTGTTTTCAATAAAGACAAACAAACTCGTCATGTTTGGTTTGGACACGGTGCAAAACACCTGACGTTCTTTGTCATATTATACAAGAACAGACACGGTATAATGACAACATTCAATTCAGCCATAAAGTATTTCCTCTTAAAAAAAAAAAGCAGAAATGCATAACGCAATGAAAACATCTCAACACAGCTCCACTGGAGACATGCTGACTTTATGTTAGAGATTTTACACAATTCATTACAACAGGAGCGAATTAAGTGGACAAATGGCTCATAATGTCAGTGGCGCCCCAGTACTGTCGTCTCGAGCTGAATCAGAGAGGATTCATTGAGCGTGAAAACCCGCTGATGTTCCCCACATGCAGAAATCAGTAGAGGCACTTACATTTCTCCTTGCTGCCGTTGTTGTTATGCAGGAATTCTCCATTGGAGCGAGTGGTAGGGAAACCATCTTCATCATCCTCCACGACTGAGCAGAGAAAACACACACAAACAGCCAGTATGAACTCATGGCCCTGTGGTTGGTGGTGCTCAGATCGGCCCACTCATATACTGAGAGATGACACATACTGTAGTACACAACGCTGAGAGAGATTTAGGGGAAGGACTAGCACGAACAAAAGAGGCAGCTGATCATTTGTGTGAATCAACAGACCCTTGTGTTGTAACAACAGATGCATCCAGAGCAAGCGAGAGCGACGGCACCCATGCAGAGGAATCTGGACGTCGCTGCAGTCTGAATAAGGTTCAGCTTTGTCTAAACATGTGTCAGCATATTCGATATCCTGATCTCTCCCTCATACACCAGAACAGACTCCGTCTACTCACTCTTGTCTCTCTGGAGCTCGTCTTTGGTCACGGCATCAGCGCAGCCATCAAAGTATTTCTGCAGCGTGTCCACCTGCCTACACAGGATGTCTCGAAACGTCTCCATCTCTGCCAGCTTCTCTCGCAGACTGTGACCCTTCTGTGGGACACAAACACAAACATATGAATTCAGAGTAGGGAGGCATGACATATTGTCACCATATTTGATCAATACTGGACATTTAATTTGGTTCTCACCTTAAAGGAGGAGGTGGAGGTGGCTGAGTATCCGCTGGTGGCTGATGTGAGGGACAGCATGGAGCCGTGTCTCCTCAAACTGGATTCAGAGCCATAACCAGACTCAGCCTAAACCCAGGGAGACAGAGATAGATAGATAGATAGATAGAGAGAGAGGTTAATGTGATAATCAAATCTCTTCCATTTTAATAGTTAATAAATAAGTAGTAGTTTTAATAATAATAATAATAATAGTTTTTATTTCAACCTGCAAGTAGTTTGCATGTATATTTATGCATTCAATACATAAGTATATATATTTATATACAAAAATGTGAAATTGTATTTTTTTTTTAATAATTTTTAAAATAAAACAATTAAATACATAATATAAAAACAAAAATATAAAAACTTTATTATATATACACGTTACACATATCTAAGAAGTGTGGACTCCTGTCTGTCTGACAGCAGAGTTTTTATTTGTTTGGTTCATGTGATTCCAGTGCAGTTTGAAATTGGTATGAAAGCAATCTGGCATAATATGCAGAATTTGATGACAACAAGCTGGACTAGTGACCTAAAAACAAAGCAGCGAATGTCTTTGCATTGCTGCTTTTCATTGCAGAAGTTGTTGATTGTTCAAAAGTTCGGTCAGTAAGAAATTACTACTTGTATTCAGCAATGATGCATTAAATTGATCAAAAGTGACAAAAATACATTTATAATGTTACAAACCATTTTATCTCACATAAAATAAAAATAATTGTGAAAAACAAAATGTTTTCAACATTGATAATTAGTGTTGTCAAAAGACCCGGTACTTCGGTACCAAGTCGTTACTAAAAAAATGAAAACGTTACGGTACCAGGTTTTTGTTTTTTTTAAGTACTGGTGGTACCGAGTACACGGTCAACCCGGTTCTTGATGCGCTATCCGAAAGGTGCGCAGATGTGCTCTCTTCATAAAAGCACTGAGACGTGGCGACATCAAAAGGAGGAAACACACCAAACTAACAAAACACTTTAAAGACACCCAGATCAAATGAAAGAGTTCAAGCAGGTAAGTTTCATTTTAATTTT